TTATATATATATATATATATATATATATAAAATCTATGTAGCAGTTTTTTTTTCTAGAAAACAAATATTATTTTTAATATTGAGTAAGTATATAAGCTATAATGTTCTATAATTAAATAAATTTAAAAAATATATTAATAATAATGAAAACTCTATTGCGATTAACTTAATTAAATAAATTTAAAAAATATATTAATAATAATGAAAACTTTAATGCGATTAACTTTATAAATATATTTTAATGTATGTAGTATAGAGAGAGAGGGAGAGAGGGGTCTATTCTATTAGACTCTTGAAAGAATTAATTTATAATTGTAAAAATAAATAAACTTAAATATAGAAAGAAAAAAACATTCCATTAATGATAGTTGGAAATTTATTTATCTCTCTTATGGAGTAATACAGAGGCAACATATGTTGGGTTATGGGTCTTTTTTCCCTTCCTATGTGGATAAATAAAAGTCCAATTTGGACCAACCCATTTTTTGCCCATAGGCCCATTCTTATGAGGCAAATATAAACCTATTTAGGGTCTTATTTTCAAATTATTTTCAAATACACAGAGAGTTTTTCAGCAACCCAAAAGAGAGAAAAAGAGAGAAATTCGCAGTCAAAAATCCAGCCATAACAACCAACTTCAAATTGCGATTCCCGCTTCGTTTCTTGTCCGATTGAGCTGATTTTTGGACAACATATTATCTTCATCTCAATCTTTGATTAGGAACTGACAGAGTTGGATTTGGTGGTCTGCAGCTTCAGTTTTGCTGTCGTGAACAGTAGCTGCGAAATTGGTGATTTTGCTCCTTTAATTCTCTAGATTTGGTGCAATCTTATTTTGTTGTTGCTCGTTGTTTGGCACTTTGTTTTGTGGCCAATTTTGGAGAACAATATTGTAACTCTTGGTGATTATAGTGGAGCTTTTGGTCCCGTGGTTTTTTACTCTTCACATCGAAGGGTTTTTCACGTAAATCTTGGTGTCTTGTGTGATTGGTTTATTATTGTCTTGTTATATTTGTTTGGTTGAATTACTTGCTGCCTTACTATCATATTGCTTGTGGTTGTTTGTTTTCTCTTGGTTCAAATCGAAAAGGGAAAGTATAGACTTGGGTATTCTTCCCGCTGTTATCCGGTCAGGCATTCTTTGTTAGTGCCTTGTCTTTCCCAACAACATAAAACAAGAGGTCAATTAAAACTTAAATATGTATATATATTATATACAGACACATTTTTATACGAAGGATATATTATATATATTATATTTTACAATTTATTCGTAAAAGGATTAAAAATATATTTTGTATATGAAGGATTGAAAATGTCAAAAATAAAATAGATGAGTGTTAATTTTTAAACTATTTTTAACAGATATAAATGATTTTTTCACCCTAAAGTAAATTTATCTAACAAATAAAAGTATAATTACTGTTATTAGAAAAGGGTAAAAGTCGTTACTCTCAAATTTTACTTTGAAATCAAATTTTTTTAACAACTTGGAATACTTATCATGTTCAGCACTACTTGAGATAGGGGTTGGAAAATGCCTAAAGTTTTTTTAAAAACGAAAAAATTATAGAGTATATTCACAAATTTGTTAAATTTATTAGTAACTTTTATTCAGACAATTAATTTTTTTGACATGTGTTGATTGATATGAACATATCATAAGTATCTTTTATAAATTTTTAAACTTCTGAAAAAAGCTTCTGCGTGTATTGTTAAACACCTATTACATGGACAAATTACTCACATAAAATACATCACTTTTTAATACATGCATTATTAGTCTCAATTAGTCGTGAAACTTCATACATGCTTTTAATTGATGTTGATATGTATAAAATTGTGATTATATGACAAGACACGTTTTTTATGACTAACTTATATACACTACATGAAAAATCATCTTTATTGTCAACTAATTAAGGATGATAACTTAATTGCCATTATACGTATATTTTTAGCGGCATTTAGCACTCATTGTAAATGTCCATAAAGCCTATAGTGACACATATTAGTAAAAATACTTTATTACTCTTTGTTAATGTGTATATATTTATTATCGCTAAATATTGTTTTTATTATAGTGATGCTTAACGTGTGCTTGATCAAATATATAATGAGTATCTTTTTTAAGATATGAGTTGAAAGTTCAAATAAAATATTCTATCATATACTTAATTAAAACATATCATAATATAATTAATTAATAAATTGAAGAGGTTGTTGATGTATTCAATCCAAAAAGAGATCTTTCATTAGAGTCGTTAAAATAGTTAGCCCAATCCAATTATGCCTAACCCAACATTTTAAGGTTTAAGGATCTAAGTTAGGATGGGCCCGTTATTTAGTGAGTTTTATTTTTTAATTTTCTTTAAATAAGGAAAAAAAAAGCATGTTACTCTTTTATTACCAAGGATAAAATAAATAAATAATAAATTATTTCTTAAAAATTAACTTAAATAGATTAAAGTAGATATTTTTTAAAAAATATTTAACATAGCAAATAAGTAAAAGTGGATGATGGAGTTAAAAGTGATTACTAGTATACTATAAGAAAATATGGTAAAGCAAGAGAAATATGGGGGATTAGTGAACAAATTATAAGATGTAAATATTGGGATAAACTTTTATCATATTAATTGGGTTTAAAAAAATGACGAAACGGTCCCTTGCGTTTAGAGTACGTTCAAAATAGTTTCATTCAGAATACATTATGATTCTAATTTATAGTCTTTTAAATTTATCAAAAGTAACAATTACTTTTTAACAAACTTAATTTGTTGGATTAGACAAAAATTATGAAAAAAGATGTTCAAATTATAAATATAAAAAATCTCATCAAATTCCTAATATGCAACACAAGTTCATATACTAGACATCAAAAAAAGATATAGAAATAATAGAAAATTACATTTTAAAAAGTTTTATCAAGCTCTAATAGTAACAATAGGAAAATAACAAAAAAACATAAATATTGTATCACTAACTATAAGTTTTCGCTATTTTTTTCTCAATAAATTTCAATCAAAATTAGTCCGCATATATTCAAGAAACTATTTTGAACTTTATCAA